GATGAACTGCTGAGTACACGAGGATCGCCTCGGGGATGGGGCTAGGGAATCTGGTGGATTGAATGGTTAGATAAATATATAGGTAATCATTTTAATTTGCTAACTATTCCAGCGCTGTGATTCACAATTTACCAATAACACCATGTTGTAGCAGTAGAGTTCCTTTTGAAAGAGTTCGTCCAGGGAAGTACTGCCACCTTACCTATTTCTGTCGCCAAGCAGTAATGTGACCATTATTGCGTTCCGGTTTTGAAGGGTACAGGTGCTTGTGAAATTATAGGCATATTAGACTTATCAACTTATGTTTCAGGGTAACGGTCGCAATGCAGTGTCTCTCAGATCTTTGTAATTTAAAGCCCTGAGTGGCACTGCAACTTCTAGGCATAGGCATGTTGCTTACTGCCACTTGTTATCATAAAAAAACCACACGGAGCTTTCTAAATATTATTAATACAATATATATTATAATTTTGTATCTGATACATTTTGGAGAGTGTGCGCAACCTTACAAATTATGCCCATCCTTACCGTTCCTTCTTCGCACTACTAGAAAGTCCGAAACACGCTATGCTTATTTTATTGGCGTGAGCTTCCTTCCCACGGCGCGTGGTGTCACGGGCCGCGGTGCGCGCCTACGCTTGCATCAACGCGCCATGGGAACCGGGCTCGCGCCAATGCGCGCGCCGTGGGAAGAAGAAGCCCGAGCGCATGCGTGGCGGCAATGCGTGCTCGCCCGTGGCCGCCTGTTCAGATACGCCGCGAGTCGGAAACTTCAAAAGCGCGGCGCGTGGGCATGTGTCGACAGCGTTCAAATGATTCAAATTAATAACTTACAGTATAAATCCGTAAAACAAACTACGTATGTTCAATTCACATGACTTAGCTAACAACTTACTCGACGCTCTTATTGAATGATGACATCCACCAGAATCGTTTCTTTTGCTTTTTTTAGATCAAGTATATTGTAGCCACTGCATAATACAAAAGTGGCTCCGGAATTATGGCCTTCTTCATACGACATTTTCGAATGGTAGCTCAAACCAGACAAAATTTGTGAAATTAAAGGCATATGGGACTTGTCAACTTGTGTCTCAGGGTGACAGTCGCAGTGGCAGTAGCTTTCAGATCTTTGCAATTTAAAGCTCTGAGTGGCAATGCAACTATTATGGACACCTGTCCACCTGTACTCACCTGTGTAGCTTACCATGAGGCGCACGACTTGTTCGTCCCGTCATTTGATATTATAAAATAAAAAAAAAATATAGACTAAGCTCTTGACAAATATCGTCAGAGTCGGTGCGAGGCTGCCCGGACTCGCCCGTGACGCGAGCTCAGTCCATTCAAATCGGCGCAATGCACACTGGTCGGAATTGAGACCTTCCCTTACATAGGAATTTCAAAAAGTTAAGTGCTGTTTTTCTTTCTGCAACCTGTCAAATATTGCTAAATATGACATAAAACCGAACAGTTCAATTAAACCTTTTTCACCGCTCACCGCAACGAAAAGTGGCCAGGAACATTTTAAATGTATGTAGCAGTATAGCTTTAGAGTTAAAACATATCAGATATTGTTACAAGGTCGATAGTCGTTACAAATATGACCTTTGACTTTGACCCCGCACGTCCCCTTTCAAAAGAAATGATTTAATAAAAAATGTGATAATAGACAACTTTAATCCACTAAGTTTGTGTATTTTTATAATTATAGTAATAATAACATATATATTAGCTTAAGATATAACATTCTTACCTATAATATGTATAATACATTTTTTTAAACCAATAATTATTATAATTATTAATACAAAGATCGAACACTCAGAAAAAATTCCTTCGATCCGGCCGGATTCGAAAAGACATCTTCTAACATACCGTCCCAGACGCTATACCAACTAAGCAACGGAACGAACCAGCGGACCTCACGAATTTTTCTATGTGCTTTTCAACGACTTTTTAGTCGTAGCGCCATCTATGAGGAATCTATGATATTTCGTCACCCAGTTAGTTACCTTTACAGCTACCAGCCCCGACTAGAGATGTCGCTATTCATTGTATTTAAATTTTTATTGAATTGATATTCAATTACTTTTATGTCAAATTACCGGTAGCTTAGTTGGTTTAGCGTCTGACACGGTATGCTGGAAAACATCGATTCGAATCCAGCTGGATCGAAAGAATTTTTTCTGAGTGTTCGATATTTGTATTAATAATTATAAGAAACTAGTGGAGTAATTTCACATAAAAATAATTGAATATCAAATTAATAAAAATTTCAAGCCAATAATTATTTCTTTTTTTAAATTCCGATGTAAGGTAAGGTTTCAATTTCGACCAGTGTGCGGCGCGGACTTGGCACGGCCCGAGAGACAACGCGCCGCGGCGCGAGCTCAAGCGGCGCGCCTCGTGGAAGAACGGGCCGCGGGAAGCCGCTTTTGGTAGATCTACCACCCATTTGCCTGAATATATGTTTCATCTCTCCGGACGCTTACGGTAAAGAACTGAAATCCACACACATCTGTATTATCCGAAAACTACAATTTCAGTCTTTCAAGTCTAAAGTATATAAACATGACGATGGACTGGTAGCGTCTACGTCAATATTAGATTGCAACGTCACTAGTGCAGTAAAGTTTCGCATTTTCAAATCAAATTTACTTTTCGAAGCCTACTTGTTTGTCGGTGTCGGACTTGAAAATTCTGAAACCGTGCAGTGCATTGCACTGCTTCACGTCAGCACTTCAAACATGTGGATATTGTGCTACATACGCACAGATGATATAACGTATCCGACCTATTATAAATATATTGTACGTACATGGTTAGTACTAACTCAATTTATTTATTCAAATTGTTTAGACTCACAGTAGTTGTACATATACATATATAAAAATGCAATTAAAATAAAAAAACTTTCAATGAAGTTTTTGTTACATTTATTTTGAAAAGGTTTAATTAATAATGGATTAATAAATTTGATTAAACAAGTTGCAGATACGACCCGAATTAAAAAGCGAGCACAGCAAGTGTTGAATAAAACAACAAACTCATCTCAAGTCTCTTTGTAGTCACTTTATGAAGAACTAGTAATCAATCAACATATAAATTGGACTGAAGCATCTTTATTTTAAGGACTTAATTTCCCTGTATCCTACACCGAATTCATTGTATTTTATTAGAAATTTGTCAGGGCTTTTCTTATAACAACCGTACTGTACAGTTTAGTTTCCATTAGTCTTCGGCAACAATCAGCTGTCAAAATTGACTTGGCGCAATTAGGGGCGGTTCGGCAAAGCGATTTAAGTAAAAGTTTCTTGTTTACGATGTAGACTCAGCTGAATGTCATTCTGGAAACGATTAATCATAGCATTGTTCTTCAGGATGCAAACCGCTCGTAAATAGTTCGTTAAGGGATGACTGCGCATGAAAATGTCAACAGATATTGTCTGTCTTATACAGAGTTTTAACTTATCTTATGCACCGAAACCGTATACTTTTCTGTCAATTTGTAGTCTTTAACATAATTTCAATTTCAAGTTCTTTTTACGCAAATCTTTTTAAGTTTACCACAGTTGTCGCAACTACACGATGTCGATGTAATAAGAAAAGCATGTTTAATTTTATGAGTTGGGAAAGGGAAATAAAGTACATTCATAAAAAAAATGGCGCAAACAACAATTTATGGCTTGAGTTACATTCGTTTATTTGCTTTTACTACTCTTGCAGGCTGCGGTAGTACCCGGTTACTGTATATCACGTAGTGGTATGGTTACGTATGTATGCGGTCGTCGTAGTCATACGTCTTCAACCGAGGTCGGGAAGAGAATGGCAGCACAAAGAGCCCCATTACCACGCGCCTTCCAAATTGCACCGACAAAGGAGCCCGCTATTCAATTATAGAAAACATCAACAGACATAACGTGATCTATGACACCGTTCAGGAACCAGCTACCAATATCGTTAGAGGTTCGACTTACAATAGGCACTTTTCGAGCTATACTACTTGCGTAAATTAAAAAAGTATCGACCCATTCGACATATTTAGAGTCTGTTCCACAAAAATATGTTAAAACCGATTGGTCGCTGATTACTTGCGAACGTTTGTTCACTTATAAATGAAATCAAGCGATGAATAAAATACACGAGGAACGAAATTTATTCAAGGGCCTTTTTTTACATCATATAAGGGAAATAGACGTCGTTTCTCTTTGGGTTACGCGTCACCTGTCCAGTAGAAAAGATATTCAACATACGAAATCTGCTTTGAAACCCTCTGAATGGCAAACGTTTGCAAAAAGCTTTTTATAGGTAGGTTGTGACGTCCGCGTCCAGTCCGTTTACATGGCCGCGATTGATTCGCCGGCGACCAGTCGTCCGGCCGGTTCAATAATTCAGTAGGATGGCCTATCGAGTACGTGTCGTGTATCCATGCTTCTGCTCGCTTAGCAGAACTCTGCGATGGAAACCTTGAGGCCTACTTACAATGATTTTCTGCGATCAGATCAGGTCCATTCTTCATCATCATTACCATTTCAGCCGTAAAACATCCACCAATGGATTCAGGCCTCCACCAAAGATCACCACAATAACCGGTCTTGTGTCGTTTGCATTCAGTAGATTCCCGAATTTACATGAATTCTTTAATTAAAAACCATTAAAGGTCAATTTATATTGTGTGTGTAAAAATGTTATCTATGGAATAAATGATTACTTGACTTTGACTTTGAGTCGATCACAACAGGGCCTATGTGTACTAGTTGTCCCCTAATTTCAGTATATTCAGAAAACACAGAACATTTCGTATGTTGCGTCGTACGCTTTCTGAATAAGTATTGAAATGCCTACATGCATGTAAAGAGAACCATTTCCGGGGTTTGATTATGAAAATTTTAAAATTTCATGGTCACCAGCTGCTTATCACCTTTATTGATTTTGCCTCAATAAAAAGTGTTCTTAAGATTTGCTTTTTATTATTGAAAATACATTTTTGTTGAACATGTTGTGGTCAGCGTTTCTATTTTGTTTGTTATTTGCTTGTGACATTACATCAGTGTGCGAGGCTAGGAGGAGACAAACGGACGATGAATTTGGATCTTATCTAGTCACGAAAATGAAGGACGATGCCAACCTGGACCTGCCCGTGGACGACGAGTATGAGGACCTTCGCGCTGAGCTTCTAGCTTATCACTCCGCATTAGCTTCACTCGCCTCGGGAGTCAGCGCTGATTCCGGCAGGAGTGGTGACTCCAGGAGATCCAATAGCAGATTGGAAGAATCTCGAAGTAAATTATATTTACTTCGTATTGAATAGTGTGACAGCTTAGAGATATCGTAACTAATACTACTCGTATAATATTTACCCATTAAAACAGGCTCATCACACTCGATACCCGTTACGAAACGCTTCTAACTATCTCGTTATCATTCGCTTTTAATCGCAAAAAGGTTTCATTCTTGCATTCAAATTAGGACGTCGTGAAGGTAAACAATAAGTGATGATAATGATGCTAAACATTTTTACGAAACTCCAAAAAGGCGGCTGACATGCAGAAAGGCGCAGACGCAGCGGTCGTCGTGGTTTATTTTCATTGAAGTTGTATGAATGCGCACATCCGCAGGTTTCCCCGCCGCCTCGGTGTAATGTATGGACTTATACAAATTCAGAAAATAAAATCGCGTCGGCCGTGTGTCATTCGCCATAATTACCATTCGAGTATTCTAACCACATAGAAGCCTATTGATATTGTAAATATGTATTGTAAATTATATTTGAATAGACTTCTAACGTTTCAAACATTTCGCATAATCCTCTTACGGGCTCCACTAAAATTTAATTAAAGTTAATTATATACAATTAACAATCTCCTTACAACAATTTCTTCTGATCTATTTTGAATTGGCTGATACCAGCGGCTTTATCCGCGCGGAATTAGGTAAATAATAAAGGCCTATTGCATTGTAGACAGAACAAAACTACATAGAATAAAACTATATACCTAATTGTATTAATTTTCAAAACAATCTTCTTTGAAGGCAGTTTAGAAAAAAGTATTATATTAATAATTTTGCCGACTTATCACATCCACTTTGGAAAACGTAAACTTAATATAGTTTTCCTATACAAACAGAAGCACCACTGCTTTATCGCCTTTTAGGGATAGTTAGGAAAAAATTAAAAATACTTGTTTCATTATTTGTTTTAAGAGTACAAAGTATTAGTTTAATGGAACCAATAAGTCCGGTTTCTTCTGATAAATTTTGTCGGTTTTACAGACAAGTTCACAAAATTACTTACGTGTTTCTTTGGAGGACAAAAAATGTTCCAAATTTCCAAATAATAAAACACTCATATATCCCATTTTCGCACACAAACTACAGCTAACCGTTTGAATTCTTTTTATGGAGGTAAACCCGAAAACACTTTATTCGTGCAAATGGTCAGTTTAGTACAAAATATATAATACCGATGGACAGGCGTGTAGCTTACCACCAAGCGCACGACTTGTTCGTCCCGTCATGGTCCCGTCACATCATATTATAACCAAAGAAATATTAAGAAATTTACAAAGAATTTTATTTGTAAAGCGATGTGTCAACTTCACAATCTGTATTTCTTTTTATCTATTGCAAAAACCAAGAAAGTGAGTTTCGTGATACATATCAAGTTTAATGATAATACAACCAAGATATCCAATTTCCATACAATCCAAATACCTTGAGTACCATAGTTTCCAAATGCGGTAATATATTTGGATGAAAAATAGTTTCTAAAAATATGAATCTCAAAGTATCATGAAAATCCATTAAATTATTTCAGAGTCTATTCTCACATATTTTAATAGAAAAAAAAACAAAAGCAGCACAACACACACGCTTCTTACGTTTTTATTATTTGTAATTTAGTTCTTTGTCTAAATTTTTATGTAACAACACAGCAATAATATTCTTATTATACACATTGTATAATAAGAATATTATTATAAAATATGTAAGTCTGTCCTGTTTTTTTAAAGAAATAAATAATTTCTGATTCTATAATTTCTGTAAATAACGCGTAAATTTTTACATTCTGAAATCACATACAGACACTCCAATTTTATTTATTTTATTTAAGTATAGAATAACGTATTCATAAATTAACTAGTTCTATGTCGAAATTCAATATTTACTGTATTGAATATCCGATATTTTTATTACGATGATATTCGTACATTTTTTGTGAAAAATAAAAGCCTCGGTCTGTACCTCAGTTGGTACCTAGCGCAGAGCAATGAGTGTGTGTGTGTGTGTGTGCGTGTGTGTGTGTGTGTGTGCGTGTGTGTGTGTGTGCGTACTACACATACTTGTTAAGAAAAAAAGCAATAATAAACAATATAGAGACGTTGCTTGTTTTGATCTATAGTAAATTCATTTCAATATTTGAAAAACCTAAGAACTCAATGCTATTTTCATTTTTTAAAATAATTATAATGGTAATTATTTCCTTAGGATCGATGAAAAATACCGCTTGCTGGAAGTTGGGCGGCGTCTGCGTCGGCATCAAACTGTGTAAAGGTGAACAATTCCTGACAGAGGTTCCCGGTTGCAAAAATAAATTAGAAGTCTGCTGCTTTGCGTGGAACAAGTATAGGCTACGCTTCAACGATATGCATAAAATTGGAATACCCAATTCATATTATCCTTGGAGCGACATCCCCGTTGTCGCATTCGGAGGAAAAGGTTTGGTGCCGATAGACTCCCCAAAGAAAACCGAAGGAAACAAGAAGAAGAAGAAGCTTTATGACAATTGGAAAAATTATGTCCTTGTCATTGACAAACACGTCGCTGAAAACATAAAAAAAAAGGCAGAAACACAAATTTCCCGATCTCTACCTGAATCATCTGCTCCAAGTGCAGTGGCAGTGGTGTTGAAACAAACATTCTGAGACTGTGTAATAATCCCAGTCACTCTTTACACATTGAATATTATGCAGAAGTATCGTGCATTCACAGCGTCCTCTGTTTATCGGAAAACACGAATGCATTTTCAATTCACGCTTAATTTACAAAAGCTATAACTTTCTTGTATCGTATTGTATAATACAAATTAATTAAACATATAAAGCGTACGCAGTATTTCATTCTTTCTTTTTTATTATAAGTTTTCGTAGTTAAAAAATGTTAATAAGTTGTAGATCCTTGTGGGTCGGTTGCACCGTTATTGCATTTATAACTAATATCGTATTCTCACAAGGCCAGAACGAAAATGGAAAAGCACAAAGGGACGTTCTACCAAATAACTGGAAAGATGTCTTTGTAGCCGGATCAGCCGGAAAGCCAACATTAGGTCAGTAAAATCTTTATAAAATATCTTTGAAACTACTTGCCTACCTGGTCCAAAAAAGTATATTGCAAACGTAATATTTTCTTGTAATAACAATAACAAAATAAGTTTTTTTACATAGCTAAATTTAGAACTACATTCATATCAATATTTTATAAACTTATAAAATTACATTTCTAAGCTTATAAATTTCCTTACGATATTTATAATATTAGTTTATACCTTATAACCAACTTGACAGAGTAATAGACCAAAATGTTGAATATTTGACGTTGCTCTCCCTTGAGGGTCCGCGAAGCAATTTTTTACGTTTTTATTATTTTTTTTTATACTTTATCCCGAATCATATCAGAAATATTAGATTTTTTAAATTGGTGCCACACAACCACACCGGTTACCTGGTCTCAGACAAAGAAATTCCTTGTGCTATGAGTGCCAAAATTACCCAGAACACCTACCTAGACCTGGATCAGTTTAGAAAAGTTTATTTCTTAAGTCGGTTCTGTGTTAACCGATCAACCACCGAGTTCATCAGAATTTTTGTAGAATAGCTAAATTGCGTTTTCCCGGTTCCCCGTTGGTATTACAACAACAATTTCACTTTGCAAATGATTTAATTTCTTTTTATAAAGAACTGGATACGTAAATTTGTACATTTTCAGTTTAATATTAAAGTATTATCGAGTTCTTAGGTTTTCGCGATTGTTACATATTTCAAATGAAACTTAGATCTAAAAGTGGTTTTCCACCGGCGAGGCGAGACGAGACGAGGCGAGGCGAGAATTGAAATCTCGCTGATCTATTTCCACCAAAAATTGCCATAGTAATATTTACTATATATAATAGTCATCGCGAGCACGCGTGAGCTCACGCGATATCTTACGAGATATCGTGAATCGTGTATCCGTTGCAGAGTTAATAAAGAGTCTATGTAGGCAGCAATACGGTTCAATGTTACATCAACAAATATTTCAAATCTCGTTTCGCCATCCTCAATCCCGACCATTTCCACTGAAGATTCGCTAGGAGAGAATTAATATTTTGCCATACAAGTTTTAAAAATCGTCTGGTCTCGTCTCGTCTCGCCTCGCCAGTGGAAATACACCCTAAGAGCGGTTACACATTTTAGCAGCGCTAATCGTGTACCTTTTATACTCGAGCTATAATATATTGAACAATATTCTTTTGAATCAACATATATTATGCATCGATGCAACCACCTATAAATCGCAAGTGTCGCGATGCAATAACGCGTTTTACAAACGTGATTTGTATTGCTTCTAATAGTCCTAATAGCCGCAGTATGTAACCTTTCTAAATCGGGCCTTTTGTTTTCAAATAAACCAACGTTTCCTTTACGAGTCCTTTCCTGCTCCCATAGTCACGGCTGACTGAGATGGTAAAGTCATTAATTAACCAGTTATGTACAACATTAATAGATACAACCCTATTTTTCAGATACAATTACAAAAATTATTTATTTAAATACCTTTTTTTAAGTTTCCAAATTTCATTCAATTTACTATACGTACCTACGTTTTGCAAAATATTTTATTTTAGCAATATGATTATTTACTAAATTAACTTTATTAATTAGATGTGAGCCCAAAACGTTGGTTTTATTTAAAAAAAAAAGCGAAATAAATCCGAAAATATAGTTTCAGTTTTGTATTAGCACCGAATCTTTGCTTTTATATTAATTTTGTAAGATTATCTCTTTGCTTAAAAAAGGCAGGCTATACACTTCTTTTTAAATTGTCAGGAACTACTGGTGCGACATGCTGGGCGCGTGGTGGAATTTGCGTGGATATTAGAGAATGTCCGTGGCTCGTATTTGATGGAAATGTGCCAGGATGCATGAAAGACTTCAAGGTCTGTTGCAAGTCGAGGCTACAGACCCCGAGTGTCGGTCACAGGCGCAAAAACAAGATCAACAAAATCCCAATTTTCTCAAATTTAGAAGAACTTGACCAAGAAGTGCTGTTCACAATGGACCGAAATAATTTTAAATACCTAGGCATGGAAGCCTTAACGGATAATTAAAATTGTCTAAAAATATTTGTATTTTGGGTTGTGTGTGTATTTGTGTGTCGTTGAATCTCCAAATGGCTTGCACATATTAGAGTATCGATGGCGGTTTGATATTCGACTTTGCATAGTTTTTTTTTATGATACAATGTGTCGGGACGAACATGACCATGATCATGAACATAAACGAGCGCCTGGTGGTAAACGACACACCTGTCCGTAACATTTGCAGTGCAGATCAGAGATTAAATCGCAAAGGTCTCAGGAGCACTGCCACGTGCTCTGAATTTCACCTGCAACTTTACCATTCAAAACCGGCACGCAGTAATGCTGACATACTGCTGGACGGCAGAACTGCCGTCCACTAATTAGTTTTAAATAGCAAAGAAGAAATCTCAAAATCCTCTTTTAAAAACAAGTTACAAGTAGTTAATGTGTTTGACTTGTCGGAACTTACCCTAACGAAGCATAGCTGAAATATCATCTCTTCATTCAGCCATACGACGCCCACTGCTGGGCATAGGCCTCCCCCAACGATCTCTTCGACGTTCGGGCCTGCGCTGCCCGCATCCATCGGCTTCCCGCGACCTTTACCAGATCGTCGGTCCACCTGGTGGGGGCCTACCCACTGAGCGTCGTCCGGTGCGCGGTCGCCATTGGAGAACCTTTCCGCGCCAACGGCCTTCGGTTCTCCTAGCTATGTGCCCCGTCCACTGCCACTTCAGCTGAGCAATTCTTCGAGCTATGTCGGTTACCCTAACTAAGGTAGTAGTAAGGAGAACTCTCCTACGGATTTCCTCATTTCTGATTCTATCACGTAGGGAAATACCAAGCATCACTCTTTCCATTGTATAAAACCCGCTCTCTGTAATTTAGAACATGGTAACGCTTTCATATTATGTAGAATACAGTGCGAAATCCGGTTGGTGAGTGCCTAGAGATCCGTAACACAGGTCAAATCCTAGTATGGACTCCAGTCTCTTACAAAGATGTATTAATAATAAGTCCATAATGTTAATTACTTATTTATAGGATAACTTAGTAGGAGAGAAATAAAGATTATTATAATTATTATTGTCCGCTAAGTGACCTTAAGCTTTCTTATGAGGTCCATAGTGAGGGACTACGTTTCTGATCCATATGTGATCACTGGCAACATACACTGGTCAAAGACTTTTGTCTTGAGACATTGCAGTAATTTGGACGCGAAGATTTTTTGTAGTTTCCCGAACGCTGCCCATCCGAGCTGGATTCGACGAGAGATCTCTTCCTCAAAGTTGGACTTACCTAACTGGACTGTCTGTCCCAGGTAAACGTAATGTGTAGTACTCCCAATTTCAACTGGAGCGGGTACAACATGTGCATTCGACATGATCTTCGTCTTGTCCATGTTCATCTTAAGACCCACTCTTTGGGAAACACTACTGAGATCTTCGAGCATTGTGTTCAGGTCTCCCAAGGTCTCAGTCATAAGAACTATATCATCGACAAATCAAAGGTGTACTAGATACTCGTCGTTGATGTTGATATCAAATCCTTTCCAGTCCAGAAGCTTGAAAATATCCTTCAACGCAGCATCTCCCTGTCTCACGCCTCGTTGCAGTTTGATAGGATTAGAGCCTGATCCTGTAATCGGACTGACATAGTGGCGTCTTTGTATAAGTACCTTAACACCTCGATATACCTATAATCTGCTTTGGCACCTTTGGAGAGACTGTAGCACTGCCCAAGTCTCGATCGAATCAAAAGCCTTCTCATAGTCCACAAACGCTAAACAAAGTGGCCGGTTATACTCCTTAGTCTCCTGCCGCAGCGTATGGACGTGGTCTATGGTACTAAAACCCTTATGGAAACCGGCTTGTTCGGGAGGTTGGACGTTGTCAAACCTGCGAGGGAGACGATTCGTAATAATTCTCGAAAACAACTTTTAGATATGGCTTAGAAGCGAGATTGGCCGATAGTTCTTCAAGAGTGTTTTATCACCCTTTCTGAAGAACAGGACGACCTCGCTTCTGCCCCATGCTTTCGGCGTTTGACCTTCGACGATGACAGAATTGAAAAGCTTCTGGAGGACTTTAAGTATCGGCTTGCCGCCCGCTCTCAGAAGTTCTGTAGTGATTTCATCATCGCCCGCCGCTTTGTTGTTCTTGAGTTGTTTGAGAGACACACTAATCTCATACAGGCTGACGTCCGTGATATCTTCGGTATAATGTCGGGTAAACTTGGCTCTGGGGTCTTTGTCCTCGCTTTCAACAGGTGCTTTCGTGGAGTATAGCTGTCGGTAGAAACTCTCTATCTCCATCAGGATTTCAGGCTTAGATGAAATGATACTACCGTCATCAGTTTTTAGCTTAGTCAGTTGGCTTTGCCCAATAGACAGATCTCGCCAACACCTTGGAGCCTTTGTTTTTACAATTCAAAAATGAGTTATGGTTTTTTATGATCTCAAAAAATCATTTTGTCACTTAGCTGCGTTTTAGTTAGCGGACGGCAGAGAAATGGGCAAGGTTTACTTATCTGGACGACCTCTAGTGCGTAGCTTTACTGCTCCTGAGAGTGGTTTACACACGGCGACTTTTGGCAGCGATACAAACGCTCGTTCGTAAAACGCGCGATTGCATCGCTTCACTTGCGATTTAATTGCTTATAAATCCCAAGTGTAGCGATGTAATCGCGCGTTTGTATCGATGCAGTCGCGCGCTAGCATCGCATTTCCATCGCTGCTTAAAATCGCGCGCCTGTGTAAAGGTAGACGATTAGCGACTGCATCGCGTTTGCATTGCTGCTAGAAGTCGCAGTGTGTAACCTCTCTTATATATAAACGTAAACTTTGCATATAAATATGCTAGTAAACTAATGCCATAAATACATTTTGTAGGTATTAATGGGAAGGCTTAAGCATGCCAAACTATCCCTGGTTGTCAAGCTTGTAGTAGAAATCTTTATACAAAGATGTAATTTTGAATGCGTGCCAAATTTGTTAACTCTGATCTAATCTACAGAACGTTGACTGCGGTTGCACTATCTACAACAGATGAATAAATTTCAACCTATGTGTTCGGTTAATCTAAGAAGTTTAAAACAGATGCCCTTCGATGCTACTACTTCGATAGGTATCTAGCAACAGGAATGATTTGAGTAAGGTATTGAGATAGCTCTGAAGACAACAAAAAACTAATACAATGTTGTAATTTTGATTGTAATGAATATTATGTTTTACTACCATGATATTCATTTATTTTTTGGAAATTATTAACAAAAAGATCGAATGCCAAGGAAAATTCCTTCCATCTGACAGGATTTGAACCTGCGTCTGTGCCATACCAGATCCGGTTGGTGGTAATGGATTAAAGTAACAAACTAATGGACTAATTTCCCAAAAAGAAATCATAGTAGTAAAACATCATAATATTCATTATAATCGATATTACAATTTATAAAGCGACATCTCTTGTCATACTCTTGTAGCTGTAAAAGTACCTGTTCGCATGAAGAAAACTTTCATAGATTTGTCACAGATGGCGCTACGGCAAAAATCTATTTAAACCAAAACACTGTTCTAGACGCAGGTCTCCTGTCAGATCGGAGAACTTTTTTCTTTGCATTCAATCAACTATGTGTGGATTAATAATAATTATAACAAACTAATACAGTATAATATTAAAACAAAATATGTTCCCTATGTATGCCCCGCTATTTCTATTTATCATTGTTGCTATTCTCACTTATTATTGCACACAAAATTTCAATATTAATACTAGGTAAAAGACTCATCTATGTTTGTCGATAAATTCAATTTAAATTACGTTCTACCAGTATGCCATCACGCTTACATATGCAAATCAATTTGAAAATCTCAATGTACAAGTTCTTTCGTAACAAAGAGACGTCCTTTAGTCTATAAAGAGCAAATGACGCGTTGTGGAACAAATCAAACCCATTTATAATAGGAGAAATCGAAATAAAAGTTAATATTCAGCTGGTCCTATTTACACAGGAACTTCCGACGGTAATGTTTCCGTTCATGAATAATACGCACAGAACGTCGTTCCATTTCAGATGTTTTGATGTCAGTAATTTTTTCTCTCTTCACAAATAATATAAGCCGAGTTAGGACTATGCTATACGTTTCTATACGACAACATATTAAAAGCCCCGTCGTTTGGTACGACCCGTTACGAATGTCATCTCATATAAAATTTGCTTTTAGTGTGGCGCGACGCTGTGACGTGTTGACAACGATTGCATAAGTTGATTTTCCATAATAATATTACGTGGGTTCTGGAAATTTTCATTGCTAACACAAAATCTAATCTAAATCCGTACTTTTTGTTGTTTACAATTCATCCGATACATTTTTGAACATAGTATATAAGCGACGATTCCCAACCATAGTTTTTACATAATTGCCCATATTTACATAAGCTTTTCATTCCGATGTCGAACCAGTACAATGGATAAGCGGCCTAATACGAAAAAACTATAGGGAAATTTCGGGAGTTCAACTGGTATTACACAACACTTTTATCCAATACAACTGAGCTGACCTATTTCCACGAGTATTTCAATATTTCATGCCCACCAACTGTTGACGATAGGCAACTACCGTACCGAACGAACGTCAGATTTCAACGTAAAAGTACGTATCTCTTCTATGCGTACAGGCCAATACAAACATTCTTATTAGTGTTTTTGTTATTGAATCGTAACGGCTAACTTTATCAAAATAAGACTTAACGTGTACACAAACAAAAGGCCAGGTCAAGAGCCCCCTTAACGCGTATGAAAATATATGGCTGTGGTCTTTGCCTACCACGATGGGAAAAGGACGTAAAGTATATAATATATGTATGTATGTGAACGTCTCAGGGTGATGGTCGCAGTAGCAGAGCCGCCCCCTGTTTGTTAGTGCGTTTATGTATACAGATTTACTAGCAGTAGAGTTCCTTGTGAAAAAGTTCGTCTGCCGCCAAGCAGTATTGTGAGCATTATTGCGTTCTGGTTTTAAAAGGTGAGGGTGCTGGTGAAAT